CAGATGGGAGCAGAATCCCTTTAAAGCATATGGCAGGGAGATGGGGTTGCAACAGTGGAAAATTTGATTAAGAGTAGACTTATGGAGTGAGAGGAAAGAGTAAAGTCCTGAATAAAAACTTACAATTTGGCCTAATAACACCTAAATTAATAGGCTAGTCATATTTTACAAACTCATATTTTTAATGTTCGCTACATATTAAAAATGGGATTATTTTACTGAGTGCCAACAAAGTTAAATAGACAGACTAATTAATCTTACCCCCAAAAGAAGTTTCATTAACTACTCCAACTGACTGAACTTTAGGACCTAACGGAAATGATATTGACGATAAATCTTCAATTAGAAGTATAAAATATAATAGCAATGTTATTGCTATTGTTGTATCATTATTATAAGATTTTATTTGTAGCGCTAATGAGAACTTAGAAACTTTTTATGACCAATCTAACTAAATGTACTTAATCTTAGGTTGAGGGCTAATTTTTTCCTGCTGCTTATCTTTCCAATTCAACAGTGCCTATGTGTCCAGAGCTTTTGTAACACAATGAACACAGCCAACTTAAAAATGTTGCTGTTTCTAAAGGCATTTTAGAGGAAATCATAGCTTTTGTTAACAAGTAGTGATGTTTGTCTTCCTTTTATTGTAAAGGAGTTCTGATCAAGTTCAAATGAGTAAAAATATTTAAACAAATATTCAGTTAACAAAACTGATTTCTGTATCTGGCTACATCATCTTCCTGAAAACTGTAATTATGCACATTTAGTATGTCACTGGTAAAAGTTGGTGCCAAATGTGAGTCATTTCTTCTTCAGCTGAGTTAAGAAGTCACCTTTGGACCTGAAATGTCACAGACACTTCTCTTTATTTACCTCTGTGTCATTTTCCTAATCAAAAGCAGACTCCTGTGTGGGAAAACCCTTAGACCATGGATATGGCAGAGAAGTCGTTACTGTGTAAGGCGGGCCACATCATGTCCTCAGATCTGCCCAGAGCCACCAGTGGTTTTTGGCATTTTGACTTTGACTCTATATTTGGTGTCCACCTACAAATAATTGCTGTTTTAAATAAGATTTTATTACTTCAAATGTTTTCTGTTAAATCACATGGTCCCTGGTGATTCTGAAGGTACTTTAGGGATCCAAAATGAAGCCAGGGTCTTCTCTTGTGTCTCTTCACCATGGCTGATTTTAAAGTTTTATGGTCATACAGAATGTTAGACGCATTCTAACATTGTGTCCTTTTAGGATTCAGATTGTCAGGATTTAGATTGTTGATTGTAGGTGCTGTCAGGTTGGTCCTGACATACAGTGACCCTGTGTACAACAGAGGTACAAGTTGCCCGTTCCTGCCCCATCCTCACTGTGTGGCTATGTTTCTGATACATTGTTTGCAGCCACCATGTCAGTCCATCTTAGTGAGGGTCTTACTCTTTTTTGTTGAACCTCTTACTTTGCCAAGCATGATAATCTTCTCCAGGGACTAGACCCTTCTGATAATATCTAAAGTGGATGAGATGAAGGCTTTCCATCCTGACTTCTGAGGAACATTCGTTCTGGCTGTACTTCTTCCAAGACAACATTGCTTTGTTCTGCTGGCACTCTGTCCATGGTATTCAATATTCTTTGCCTTCAAAGAAGTTAAAGCCATCAGTATTTATGGTAGAAATTATGAAAACAGAAATCATCCTCTTTCACTGGTAATAAATGGAGCTTAAAAGTCTCTTGTGAGAATTTGTTTTATTTATTGTCCTAAGTTCATCTCCCTCTGTGTGCCTTGCAGTGGGATACTCCCATTTTCCTCCCGTTTCAGTAAAGGGACAATAATTCTAGAACAGTCAAGCATATTAAATGTATTGGAATAAAATGATCTTTGCCCTTGTGGTGGAAGGTGTGTAACCAGACCATGAATTACACATTTCATTGTTGGCATTAGAATGAATATGTAGTGTAGAAGTGGATTGTAGTGAACAGTTGCAGTGATGTTTCAACTGAAACACACCCCATTCTAGCCTAAAGCTATTTGGGAACCTCTAAGCATCATCTCTAGGAGCCCTGGTGGTGTAGTGGTTACCACTGGGGCTGCTAATCGCAAGATCAACAGTTCAAAAGCACATCCGCTGTGTGGGAGAAAGTCAAGGCTTCCTAGTCCTGTAAAGAGCAGTTTTACTCTGTCCTATAGGGTCACTATGAGTCGCCATTGAGTTGATGGCTGTGAGATGTACCATCTCTGGGCAGTAAGAGCTAGCGTGCAGTTCCCCAAGGTTAAGATGGCTGTGAAAATGTATCGATGAAAATGAAATGATTTCTCTATTATCTGTGACTGTATTGAAGTACTATGTACATCCTTTCAAGTGTTCTTATTGGAGATACTATGTGAGACATTAAGAGCAATTGCTCCTATTCTGATGCAGTAGTAATATTGCGTAGGAGTGCTAACTGGGAAAAATTACCCGTGAAGCTACCACAGCCCAGAGTGTGCCTTGGGGAAGAAGTGACACCCACGTTATTTGTCACAGTGTCTTTGTACCCCAAACAACACAGGTGCTGACTCCTCATCAGCTACTCAGTTTTCCTACAGAAACAGAGTGCCCCATGTCAGCTGGCAAATAAGGAAGAAAAATCTAGAATATGAAGATAATTTATTCCTGAATTTAGTAAGTTGTTTTCAAAACAACCTTTAGGAGCTTGATACTTCACATAAAGCATGAGACTTTTAGTCTGCTGAGATACTAGGGATTGCTGACCTTAGTATTTACCTGAATGTGCTATCCTGAAGTCTACAGAACTGTAGCTTCTCAGACAGGTAATCAACTTGAAATGCATAAAAAACATGAACGGAACTTACATATGTAAATCAGTGTGTGACTCATAGTAAAATGAAAGGCTCCTCTGGTGAAAGATTTCAGAGTTCATAGTTTTCCTAATCACACATTCATGTCTGTTTTGTCCCCTTCTTTATGCTAAACATCATATTCTTTTTTAAAAATGGTATCTAATACTGAGAGAATTCCTAGGCAAAAGTGTATTCTCTGGGGTAAATAGGATCCAGATCACTTAGGGCTTATTGATTTTATGATCAGTACTTAGGTCGCTGCTAAAAGCAGATAGCTTTCCAATACATATCTGAAACCTAAGAGACCTCTCTACCTCAATCCATCTTCAAGAGCAGCGAAGATCTGACTGTTCCCCATATTGCTTTTCAGACAATTAGGAATGAAAATCATGCTAATAGTGATGGTCATTCATCTGTGGAATGCTAGCTTAAACTAATATTAAATACTGTTCTTCACCTTTAGTAGAAAGTCAGAATGACTATCAGAGGAAGAAAAGAAAACAAAACATTTTAAAGATTCCTATCTCGACTGTACTATTGCTTTTTTGTACAAGTAACAATTAATTGGGGGTTATTTCTTTACTAGAGAGGCCTAATGTTAAAAGTACAATGATGGTATCATCGAGATCATGAGTCTTAGACTTATAATTTAATCCATTAACTGACTTTCATTTTCTTATATTAAGCAATGACCTCTAATGGATGTTTACAAAATAAATTTAGAGTACAACAAAACTTATAAATTCAGAGACTATAATACCTGTGATTATTTGATTTGGATTTAACTGGAATTTAATATTTACAAAAATAAAGACTGGTTCTTTAGCATTTTCTTTGTCTTTAGTTGTGTGCTTTATTTTTTTTTATCATTTTATTAGGGGCTGATACAACTCTTATCACAATCCATACATACATCAATTGTGTCAAGCACATTTGTACATATGTTGCCATCATCATTCTCAAAACACCTGCTTTCTACTTGAGCCCTTGGTATCAGCTCCTCATTTTTTTCCCTCCCTCCCTGCTGCCTCCTCCCTCCTGAACCCATGATAATTTATAAATTATTATTATTTTGTCATAATGTTACACCATCTGACGTCTCCCTCACCCACTTCTCTGCTGTCCCTCCCCCACAGAGGAGGTTCTATGTAGACCTTGTAATCTGTTCCCCCTTTCTCCCTCACCTTCCCTCCACCCTCCCGATATCGCCACTCTCACCACTGGTCCTGAGGGGTTCATCTGTCCTATATTTCCTGTATTTCCAGTTCCTATCTGTGCCAGTGTACACCTCCGGTCCAGCCGGATATGTAAAGCAGAATTGGGATCATGATACTGTGGGGGAGGAAGTATTCAAGAACTGGAGGAAAATTGTATATTTCATCATTGCTACACTGCACCCTGACTGGCTCGTCTCCTTGCAGCCCTTCTGCAAGGGGATGTCCAATTTCCCACAGATGGGCTTTGGGTCCCCACTCTGCACTCCCCCTCATTCACAATGCTATGATTTTTTTTTTTTTTTTGTCTTTGAGCCTGATACCTGATCCCTTCGACACCTTGTGATCTCACTGGCTGGTGTGCTTCTTCCATGTGGGCTTTGTTGTTCTCAGTTAGATGGCCCCTTGTTTATCTTCCAGCCTATAGCATTTTTAATTTATGAACTACACATGGAAATGCTTTATGGAGTTTATGGAAACATGTGCTCCTGGAATGGAAAGAGCTACATTAGAGCCATAGAACTCTTCCTGGATTTCTGTTGAGAAACTGAAATGGTAGGGCAAACGTGGCTGAACAGCATTAGGAAGGACTCGAAAGCCATGTTTTCATATGCTCTGTATTTTGTGGAGAAGAGGCATAATGTAGGAGAAGGTCTTAGAATGGAATTTGGGAGATTGCAAGTTATAAGCTGGAAGACATACCAGAATATAAGGCTTTTATAAGGGAAAATACTGTTGTGGTGAGAATGATAAATCAAGCAAAATACTTAAGTAATCAAATAATGTGTCATATAAAAGAAATAATATATAACAGTAATACATAGCCACTTTAAAATATTATCTTTAATAAAATGAGATGTTTATTAAAACTTTAATAAAATATTATCTTTAATAAAAATAGTTTTTTGTTAATTAATTTGAAACAAGATTACTGGTTTTGTCCTCAATAGGGTCGGTGGGAAAGTCAACAAGATGTATCCCAAACAGTACTTTCCAGAGGACAAGCTTCAGGCTCCCCATCCCCTTCTACTTGTCCCCCAAATAATTCTCCTGATCCAGGTAAGCTACATTTTCATTTGCCTGCCAATATCTTTAATTTGAGCGTATTTCAGAAATTGTTTGAATTAGAATTCCCTGCCAGGTACCCACTGTTCTACTAATTAATGTACATTTAAGTCATCCTTTTTATTGTCTTAGCATGTTGAAAAGCATTAATTTTTGAATTTGAACAATTTGCATTTATGTATAAATTCCACTTGATACCATTTTGAAGTAGTGCACTCTTTGTTTCTTTTCCCATTTGCTAATATTTTGTCAAGGCATTAATAAATGTACTCAGCAATGAATATCTGCATGTGGTTTTCTTTTTATGCAGCAGTGAGCTTGTTGGGATTTGGAAGCATGCTTGGGTGGGCCTCATAAAATGACTTGGGAAGTGTTCCTGCTGCTGTTTGTTTCAGATTGGATAGTTCCTTCCATTTCCAGTATTAAGCACATCCATGGAAATTGTCATTCCAGTTATTGTTCTTTTTGGTTCTCGAATTTCCATTTGGTGCTATTTTTTTTTAAGTTTAATTCCGTGCTAGTATTCCTTATCAGTTCATCTATTAAGATCTCTTTATGTCCTTGAACATGTTTATAAAACTGCTTTCAAGTCTTTGCTAAATCTAGCATCTGAGCCATCTGATGGTCTATTTCTTTATGCTTTTTTTCCTTATCATGGGTCATATTTTCTTTTTCATTTGTTGTCTACTAGTTTTTTGTTTTGTACTGAACCTTGTGGACATTACGTGGTAGAGACTTTAAGTTTTATTGTCTTCCTCTGAATATTGTTGACATTTGGTATTACAAAAGCTTTATGTAATTTAGTGAGTATTTATTGGTCTTTTAAAATGACTGTGTATAAAACTCAAACTATATACCCAGTCTCCTTAATTGATGGGAATCAAATTCCAAACTCTGTCTCTATGTATCTTGTAAAGTTTTGATTTCAAGGGTTGTTAGGTTGTGTCTAGATTTGTTCTTATTTCTAAGATATAATCTTTTGGGGCTCAGCTTATCCCACTTTGGATGACCCAAAACTCTGATGTGTCTGTGATAGCTAGCCACCAAGATGACTCCAGTGATATTGAAATTCACCCTTTTCTGTGGTCTGCTCCCACATGGACTCATGTCTGCTCTCTGTGGTAAATAGAATGAGCATTGACAGTATGAAACTTCTTAGATAGATCACAAAAAGCTGTACATCTTTTATGTTTTTCTCTTGGATCTCTTAACATAAGAAAGTTGGGAAATTAAAGTTATTTATCTTGAGCACATTTGAGGAAAGTATGGGGACCACAACTGAGCTTCTCCCACTCCCAAGGCTAACTTTACAAGGCAGAGGTCAGACAAGCCTCTACCCTCATTCCTTTTCCCCCTAGCCTGACATCAACTCTCCCCCATGACATTCTGGTTCTGTGGCTGGGTTCCATAATTTCTTTACAGTAGACTCCCAGATCTCAGAGGGAAAACGCATGATTATGCATTTTATTGGAGAAGTTTACAGGTTACAATTCAGCTGATAAATGCTCAAGGTAGAGTTGGTCAGTTATCATAGTTTCTTTCCTTCATGCCACAGGCAGGCCTCTCTCTTGCTTCAGCCTCTTGCTCTGGCCACTGCCTTGCTTGGAAAATGTCACAGAGCTCTTTTAGGGATGCTAATAAATGCCCAAAGGGTGTATCACTGTATGCTAAGCTTCAGCTTGAAGGCAATCCACTCCATGGGTCAGTAAACCCGTTCTCCCCAATTAAGTGCCCAGAGACACCCCACTCCACAAGCCAGCTTCCTACCCCAAAGGATTCAACTTTATTTGCTCTGTGAGCTGGGAAGTCCACCACTCTATCTCATGCTCTGACTCCTGGTCCTGCTGTTGCTACTTCTCTGGGTCAAAGTTGTCTCCTGGATCAGAAGGGTTCAGTGCACAGGGATCATGGGGTTCAAAGGATTCACTCCCCTCCTGACTCTACTCTCTTGTTGGTAGTGAGATTCCCACTTCCTGCTTCTAAGGGGGCTCATATCATACCCAGTGGGGGTGGTAATCTCAATTTCTGTGAACAATTATTCACAGATGAATCATAATGTAACCAATATCTTCTCCATCTACTTATGCAGACCCATTAGGAAAACTAAGTTTTTTTGGTGAGAGTAACAAAGACTTTTAGCTAGAAGAGCCATATTGCTAGTTCACTCATTGCAGCCCATATGGAGAGGAACCTGGGTTTCTAAATTGACACCCATGTGAATGTGCCACCTTGAAAATGGATGCTCCAACCCAAGGCAGGTGTAAAATGACTATAGCCCTAACTGATACTGTATTCTAAGCTTCTGGGTCTCCTCAGCCAGGATCATTCAGCTAAGCTGGCCTCGAATTCATGATTCACAAAAACAGTAACAGTAAATTTTTATTATTGTTTAAAACTACTGATGTTTGGATGTGATATTTTACACAGCATTAGCTAACAAATACAATTATATAATACTGCTCAATCACTATTGTTTATTTATTTTTTAATATCATTTTATTAGGAGCTCATACAACTCATCACAATCCATACATACATCCATTGTATAAAGCACATTTGTACATTCATTGCCCTTATCATTCTCAGAACATTTGCTCTCTACCTAAGCCCCTGGCATCAGTTCATTTTTAACCCTCCCTCCCTGCTCTCCCCTCCCTCACGAACCCTTGATGATTTACAAATTATTTGTCATATCTTGCCCTGTTCGACATCTCCCTTCACCTACTTTTCTGTTGTCCATCCCCCAGGGAGGAGGTTATATGTAGATCCTTGTAATCAGTTCCCCCT